ACTAAAATTTACCTTTTTATTTTTAAAAAGGTTAAGTCAATTTTATTTTCACTTTGAAAACATTCTAAGTTATAACTTAAAAATCCATGTAGAAGTGCTCAATGGAAGAAGTAGGAGTCTATACTCCAGTTAAGATGGCTACAAGTTATTACAAATGGATATTTAGACAAGAGAACTTTACTTGGAATCAGGGTATCTGTGACCGTGTGTCTGAACCTCTCCTTCCCCACAGGTGAGTGGAAATAATATCAACTACCAAGCAGGGCTCCTGTGAGAAGGGAACATATAAAACAAAACTGGTATAGTGCTAAGTTGACACAAATGGATGTCTAACTTCCAGTCAGGGATCAGAAAATGTTAAACAGAGAAGGAAATCAGATGTCTATCAAACTGGCTTTATAACATGAATTTCCACCAAGTATGATGCTAAGAAAACCATGTTGTGTGTTTAGCACAAGAGATAGAAACCCTTCCTAACAAGAGGGTTAGCTCTCAGCACCACCCACTGTCGGGAAATCATGGAGTCAGTGTCTCTCTGAGCCACTGGTGTGAATGGCAGACTCTGTTGCACAGGTTTCTAAGAAAGCCTCTGAGAGCCCCATTCATCCACCCATAGAGGGATCCATTTGTTCAGCCAGTTCACATAAGCCTGCAATCAGCATCTTGACTGGGTGAACCAATGAGGGTAGCTCCATTCCAACTTCAAATGAAAGATTATTAAAATGTAGAGGAAATCTGTCAGAATTATAATGAGAGATTAAATCTGAGAAGAGCAAAAAAGAGAAAAAAACTTTTGGCTGATCGGCAGAGGCTCCCACAGGCAGCTTGTGAGGCCCATTTAATGACTTGGCCTGCATCCTGAGTGTTTACTGATTCACAGCTTGTTTAACTTCTTGTATATTCCCAACCATTCCCCAAAGTGTGATATACCTCATCTACTATACAGTGGTTTAATTGCACTACAAATGAGTTTACTCAACCAGTTAGAACTCCAAATACTGTGAAGATACATGCCCAAGTTTTTTAAAAGTGGTGCCTCACAGATAAATGGCAATAAATGTCTATCAGATTATTTATTGCTCTCCATATACAGATGGAATTGAGATTAATACTTAATTAAACTAGAATTCCTGGGCTGTCTGAAATAGATCAGGTCATTTATTGGCAGAATTCCACTGCCAATAAAATCTAGCAGAGCACAAACCTATACACCCATTAAATCAAAGTTTTGTCTTCCCCCTAATGAAGAAAGAAACCTCAGATCATCTCTAAAAGTATAAAGAACTAAAAAACAAATGGTAAACAAACAAAAATCACAAACGATTGCATGCTAGAACAATCTCCCTAGGTAGAAAAGCTTCAATTAGGTCCTCGAAGGAAATAATATATTGCAAAAGTACATCAAAAAGCATTTATAAGCCACATCAAGAAATACAGCACTTGACAGATCCTGAAAACAAATCAGCGAAGCATATAGAGGACCCACAAATATTTAAGTTCTTCACTGAGTTAATGGTGTGGAAAATTTTAGAGGTGAAAAAATATTTAATAGTAAAGAGAAAGATTCCTTGTGGCACAACAAAAATCGCTTTTATTTTATCTGCTCATGTGTGTGATAAATGGCAATAAATGTCTATCAGATTATTTATTGCTCTCCATATACAGATGGAATTGAGATTAATACTTAATTAAACTAGAATTCCTGGGCTGTCTGAAATAGATCAGGTCATAATGTGTCACTAAATACCCTTCAAAACTATTAGTGACTCTGAAGAATCTTGTCACTCTTCTCCCTACACCATGAGAAGGAAATTGTCTACAAAAATGGATCAAGGAAGAAGCACCACTAATGTGATTAGATAATAGCAAAGAGTTTAATTTTTAAAAGCCTGGTGTAATATAAAAACTAAAATAAATGTATTGCTCTAAATTTTCAGCCACCCTTATTTAAATACGTTTCTTATAAGGTTTACTGCTGGTCAGATGGGAAATACAGGCTAATTCTCAAGTAGCAATGCTATATATAAAATTACACATATATAACAACACACAATATGGTGTGTTGTGTGTGAATATATATATATATATGTGAAAAAAATATATATATATATCAACAAAGAAAAGAGTTGGATACTTCTGAACCAAAAAGGGCAGAATGAATGGGTAGGAACAGGAATATATCAAATTTTTCCTTTAAAGTCTCTCTCTCCAATCCTCCAAAATAACTCCTAGGTCACTTCATATGTCTTCTGATGGGGAGCCAATAAGAAGTGATTTGAGGTGCACATTACGCCTCTCAAGGAAGGAGCAGTGATCTGAAAACTCAAGTACCTACACAACATGCATTTGGCATATGATAAATGTGAAGAATAAATATATTACCCAGGCGTGTTAAAATATAATGAGAGCTTTTCTTGAACTACTCACCCATAGGCTCCATTGCTGATCAATTTAATCGTTTCAAAATCACTTTCCCGAGGTTTCCTTCGAAGTTTCAGGGAAGCATTAGAGCTCTTGGAAACAAAATGCAGAAGTTAAAAAGCAGTTCAGAATTTGAGAGAATTATTTTATCAGCAAAACAGATAATAGCTGAATGACGGACTATGTTGTTTAATATGCTGAGGTACAGTATTCTTGCCAAAGGAGCCTGGGGACAGCTCTGAAGATCAATCTGCCACAGCAGTGCTGATAAACTGTTCCTCATGGCACTGTCTCGTTGCATTTCAGTGAACCCACATTTCCAGGAGATCGAAGAAGATTCCTGATTTTAATTTCCCTCTGTAAACTGCTCAAGTTGGTCTTGCCCTAGTCTTTTAACATTTTGGGATTTAAATTCAAAATGCCAAACCCTCCCACGGTTTCAGTCAGCCAGAAGAGAATGGGCTGTTCCCAGGGCTGGGCAGATGTGTCTCACGCCTGCAGCGATCTTTCTTGTTTGGAAAAGTAGCGGGCAACAAATGGAACACCCAAGCATCAAACACCTGCCTTTCTTTACCTCCATACCAGAAATCTTACCGTGGTTTAGAGAACCATTGCCCAAGAGATGGCTCTTTTCAAAAAGTTTAGGCTCAGAGGACAAGAATAAACAAAGTGCTTTTTAAAAAACAATCTTTCATGCCCCATTTATCTTAGCACTGAGAGGATGTTAACAGCTTCTTTGCTCCCCTCTGCAGAGTCTGGAATTCCCTTGCCATCGTTTGGAAGAAAACCCCATGACTCTGCGGTGGGCGCCATCCTCCCTCACTCAGCGCTGCCATCACTGGCCCTGTCATCCCACTTATCTTTGGAAGACTCGGGCACCCACCTTCCTCTCTGCCCGAGTTCTTTTGCCATCCAGAGTGACTTCTGTGTCCACAGAGATAACCTGCCCAACGCTCGGGCCTCCAGTCTGCCTGACCTCTTCAGCTCAAGCATCTGTCTCCTCTACTTCCCCTTGGCCTTTCACCACAGGATCTGGATCTAGTCATCACCTGCGTACGATCCATCTCGGGAAAATATAATTAAAACTGGGACTACTTCTGTGTTCAACCACTCCCACTCTTACTGCTCCTTCATGGCTTTAGGCTGCGTGGCTCTGCACAAGGAAGGCCCTCTTGTCTCTAACTCTTCCCTACCTAAGTGATCTCACTTATTGTCTGTGGACGACTCCTAAGTCACTTCCATCTTCACCAGAAGCTCTCCCGCTGCGTGCAAGGTATCTGACCTTATACACAACTGACAATCTGATGACTCTTCTTGCATGTTTCAAAGGAACTTCTGTATCACCACATTCAAAATTATATTATGATAATAAAATTAACAAAAATAGCTATTGTTTATTTAGCACTTAATATGTGATGCTGTCCTAATCATTTTACATAAAATACTAAATAAGGTATTCTATGTCTTTTATATCTCTGTTACAGATGGGGAAACTGAGGCACAGAGACACTAGTAAGTGTCCCCCCACTAGTAAGAGGTAGAGCCAGTCTTCAAATCCAGCCATCCTGACTCCAGAGCCTGGGTTCTTAGCCTTCAGGCTACTTAGCCTGCTCCTGATTCCCTGACCACACCCAACCTGCTTCACCCGAGTTCCTCTTTTGGTGTTCAGAGAGGGGGAGACCAGCGCCAGCATCCAGGGCCTCTCACCAGTGCCACTGCAGCAG